AAACGTATAAAAAAAAATCATTAATAAATTGTGTAACGATCTACAAACTCGGGGCACTCGGGACGTTCCTACCTCGATGTAAATTCACAAAAAATATGGAGAAAATAGCGGAAATATTCGGCAAAAATTTTTGCAGGGCAAACAGGTGACTCATTTCGAAAATAAGTAGGATTTTTCAATAGCATTTTTACTATGTTGAATTAAAAATCGGAAAAATAAAAGATTAATTTGAAACCCCCCTAATAAGAAACTAAAGAAAAACTAAATGGTTCATTTTAAATAATAATGTCAATAATAATTATTACACTGATTCAATGCAAAAAAAAGCGAATAAGAAATTAAACGTTTAAGTAATCAACAAAGGAGTGCGATGTAATAATTTTTTTTTATATCTTTATGTATAACTTTCCTGTAGTTCATAAGTTGATCCATGGGTGACCTGCAGTGATCTACTGGTTTCCCACCCACCCATAGTCAAATCACTAGTCAGAACATATTTATTGGTTATTATAGTATTTTCAGTTTTTTTACTATAAATTCACCATAATCAATATAAGAATGCAAGTTATTGTGATTCAGAACTGATATCCTGTAAAATATCAAAAAAAAAACGACCGAAACGATTATTGATGACAAAATTATGCAATAATGCATTCTATTGCATCGGCATTACCGAATCATTACAATGCAATATTGTGATGCGGAAAATTATGACAGTGTGGTATCTCAATTATATCTATAGTCGTTTTGAACAGTGATCTATATAGTTCGATTTCAAGTACGTAGTCACTGAGGGCATTTAAAGAAATTTCTGTATGTTTTAAGCTATATATTAAAGATAATATTGTTTGTTTAAAGAACGGAACTAGGATTTCTTTTAAACTCACACTAGACGTTCTTGCATATATAAAACTTTGACCAGATAGAAGAAAAAATATAGTGGTGAAAATGAAAATAATGTGAAATTGAAGAGTAATGTGAATTAAAGTGAAAATGAAAGTAGAAATTATGAATATAATTTCCTAATACAAAAAAAAAAATATATATATGGTTTTACTTCCATTATTCATTTGCTTTTATTTTTTTTATAGAGATATGACGATAAGTCGGAAATTTCATATGATTTTAAATCTTGTATTTGATGTATCGGTATATGATTTGGCGTTGAATTTTTGTGACGCAGTAGGATTGGATTTTAACCGTTATTCTTAGAAAGTTTAAAATTTGGCACTAATGGTCCTTATAGTTATTCTCTAGTCGATCGTACCGCTACTACCGGCTGGGACCGAAATACTTGTATAAATAAATAAATAAATAAACTATGCTACGTACCGATTTATTTTTACTATATATGGTGGTCTATCATAATTTCTTTCCCTATGTACAGAGGACAAAACTGAATGGTTAAAGTCTGAGTTTGTTTTTTCTTGTTCCACACTAAATAAGAAAAGAAAAATTTGTTGATAATCATAAAAAATATTGGACCAATAAAAAACTGACAGTTGATGCACAAAAAACTATAAAAATGGCCTGAAAATGCTTTAGTCGGCAAACGTTTGGAAAAATGGCTTCAAGACATCCAAGAACTTCACTTCCTGTCTCCTCTTCAGTACCATCCCTTACTAATACTACAAGAACAAAATGTAAGTTTTTTTTTAAAAAATAAAAATAAAAAAGGATATTGATCGGCCTTAACTGAAATTTCTTTTAGACATTATTGGAGTATGTGCCATGGACAATAAAGCACGCTCTAAACCCATGAGAAACATTCTAAATCGGCTTCTGAAATTTGGTGAATTCGAAACTGTAATATTTGGAGATAATGTTATACTTGATGAAAGTAATGTTATTTCTAATTTTTAATTAAATTGTTACTCTTGAAAATTTCTAACTATTCTAAAATTATTTTAAGGTGTTGAAAATTGGCCAGTTTGTGATTTTTTCATCTCTTTCTTCTCAAATGGTTTTCCTTTAGATAAAGCCATAGAGTACGTAAAATTGCGTAAGCCATTTTGTGTCAATGATCTGTCAATGCAGAAACTTTTGTGGGATCGACGACTTGTCTTGAAATTGTTAGATATTTTGGGTGTACCTACACCAAAACGTCTAATTTCTAACAGAGATGGTGGTTCCAAAATTGATTTAGATTTAAAATCCCAAATTTTTAAGAATGTTGGTATTCATCTTAAAGAAGAAAATTGCCCAAATGCTATAGTTGAAATGCTTAATATTGATACTATTCGTGTAAACGGTAAAACAATGCGAAAGCCTTTTGTTGAAAAGCCTGTCAATGGTGAAGATCATAATATAAACATATATTACTCTTCCGAAATGGGAGGGGGTGGTCGTCGATTGTTCCGCAAGGTAATAATATCATAACTTTAATATATACACATATATATATATGAACAAATAGTTTAATTCTAATTATATAGGTGGCAAATAAAGCGAGTGAGTTTGATCTTGAATTGTCACAGCCACGCACTGATGGGTCTTACATTTATGAAGAATTCATGGATGTTGACAACGCGGAAGATGTTAAAGTATATACCATTGGATCTACATATGCACACGCAGAAACACGTAAATCACCGGTGGTTGATGGGCTTGTGAGGCGGAACACTGACGGCAAAGAGGTTCGTTACGTTACTACATTAACGAATGAAGAAAAAAAAATAGCAAGCGATATATCTTTTGCATTTGGTCAGACAGTATGTGGGTTTGACTTACTTAGAGTTCATGGACGATCATATGTCATCGATGTAAATGGTTGGTCATTTGTAAAGGGAAATGACGAATATTATAGTAATTGTGCTCGCATTTTACGAGCAATGTTTTTAAATGCTGTTCGAAAACGGAAGATCAGCATTGATTCAATACCAAACGAACTTCGACTTGAAAATTCTTGGCGTCTTAAATCTTTTATAGCTGTATTTCGTCATGCTGACCGTACACCGAAACAAAAAATGAAATTCTCTTTTCGAGGCAAGCCTTTCATTGATTTACTTAATGGATCTATTGAAGAAGTCATGTTACGCCAAGAGGAGCTCAAGAAAGTGTCAGATGCTGCAATAGCTGCTACTAAATTACAATGTGATGATATAAATAAATTAGAACAGCTTAAATTAATACTACAAATGAAAAGAGATTTGCCTGGAACCAAAGTACAAATTAAACCTTCTTATAACAAAGATAATCAGCTAATTGAAAAGCTTCAGCTTATTGTTAAGTGGGGTGGTGAAGTAATTATCTATATTCTTGAATTTGTTACATTAAATATATATGTTGGTATTTATACATCCTATATGGACTTCATTTTAGTTTACTCATTCTGCTCTTTATCAATCACGAGATCTTGGAGAAAATCTACGGAAAGACTTGTTAATTATGAACAAAAATGTCTTGGACGATATAAAATTGTATACAAGCTCGGAAAGACGTGTTGTCGCAACTGGTATGATATCAAAGTGTATAAAATTTGAACATTGGAGAATATATTTGTACTTTATATAGTGGTATATTACCAAAAAAGATAATATACAACAATAATAATGTTGCCAAAATCAAACTTACTAAATTCAAAATTGAGTATATAACACGTTATCTGCCATTCCTAATAATGTAAATACAGTCAACTCTCTCTAAATGCATTTCGCGGGCACAGAAATAAATAATATGATCTTATATACCGAAGCTAAACTTGCATTTTAAAGAATTTAATATGATCTGTTCTGAGAGAACATGCACTTAGAGAGAGTCGACTGTATTTGAACGGATTGGATTCAAATAATAGTTCAGCTACCTTGATATATTAATTTGTTAAAATGCACACGTAAATTGATAGGAGGATTCTAACTTTTGAAAAATTTAAAATTAGCTGAAATATTTGCTAGGACTTTCCTGGATGTAAATGATATTCCTGAAAAACTCATTGAAACTCGAAAGGAAATGCTGGATGACAGTAATTCAGCTAGGGAACAAATGGACGATGTGAAAAATAGACTGAGAACCCTTTTAAAACCTGGTGAATCTTTGAATGTGGATTGGGCATGGCCAAAAGATCAACCTGAACCATGTATTGTGGTCCAAGAAGTTATTGAAATTATGAAGCATCTTCGCAAAATAATGCATGAAAATTTTGAACACATGGATTATGATAATATTCAATCTCGATGGTGCTGTTCTGAAAACCCACTACTTTTTAAAGAACGGTGGGAGAAATTATTTAAAGATTTTTGCGATGTGGATCGTCACATGTTTGATCCAAGTAAAATATCTGAACTCTATGATTCTCTCAAGTACGATGCATTGCATAATCGACAATTTTTAGAGACCATTTTTGTTGATCAAAATGGCAATAAGAGTACAGCTGAAATAAAAGAATTATATCAACGCGCAAAAATCTTGTTTGATTTTGTCGCGCCTCAAGAATATGGTATTGAAAATAAAGATAAACTCTTAATTGGAATTTTACTCTCAGATTTGTTGTTAAAGAGTATCATAGAAAATTTAGAGGTATCTAAACTCAATCTTTTATATTTTACTATAATCGTATGATTGCTGATGTTACCGTAATACAAAATTTTTTTTTGGTAGGAGTCAAAATCAAGTTTAAAGCCAAGTACAAGATTATACTTTACCAAAGGTGAACATTAAATAATTTTTTCTTTGAATATGATATAAAGTAATAAAATATTAATGCACTTGATTATAATATTTTTGTTTTTACCAGAATCTCATGTGCATTCTCTTCTAAATGTCGTGTTTTTATCTGGCCTTCCCACAAGAATACCCAGGAAAGACGTTCCAGAACTTGATTGTAAATAAATAATTAAATTTCAGGAAGTGACAAATATCAGTATATCAGCACGTTATTTAGAAGGGATAATGACTGTGTAGTATTAATTAAATCGAAGAGAGTCTGTTTAATAATAATTTATTATGAGCTGATATTTGCCATTTTCCTTATCAGCGCCTTTTTTTTTTTTTTATCAATATGACACAACTAACAAATTTTTTATAATACGAATTTGTTTTAAAAGATCTCACCCAGATCACGTTTGAACTCTATGAACGTCATCGTGGTTTATCTGGTGATAAGGATAAGGAATATTCTTTGCGTGTGGCATTTAGTCCCGGAGCCCATGACCCAAATATCTTGGATTTACAACTAGATGCTCGGCATTGTATGATTGTAGCACCAAGAAAGTGAGTTTATCAAGTTTGTACACTTACTTGTTTCTGTTTAAATTAAATACCATCTTTTGTTGTTTAGAAATCTTACGGATCACTTGCCCTTGGATGAAGCACTCTCATATTATAAAACTAAAGTTTATAGTCCACCAGCAAGTGTCATAGCGGAGCCGGTTAAACAGAATGTTCGCGAATCACTTTCGTCGTCACCTTTTTTTGGATTTCAACTTAGCAAATC